GTGGGAATGATCTATTGAGCCTCTTCTAATTCCTCAATTTATTATCCTGTACAAGTCAATATCAGCCCACTGGAAGTGTGGTGCTTGCAAATTTGCAATCTACACCCCATTTACTTATAGAAGTTACCCCACTGAAGTCCACTGGGGTGTGTAAGGGGGTTTAAGTAGTTTATTTAATTATCTGCAATTCAGGGATGCCACAGTCTCTGCAAGCTCATATATAATATAATATTGCCACTTTCTGGAAACAAAAGTTAGGGAAAGACAGAGGTAAGGAACATATTTCAAAAAGCAGATGTATTTTAAAATATAAGTAAATATTTTACTTCTCACATACTTGCATAACAGCTGCCATTGAGGTTCAAATACTGCATAAGAGATAGACAAGAGTCCTCCTCCCAAGCTCAGAAACATTTGAATATTTTATATTTTCTGTATCCACAGTAAGCTAAAATAAAATGTTTATAGAGCAGGTGTGACTAACCTGTGGTCCTCAAGATGTTGTTGGACTCCATCACCCCAGCCAGCATGGCCAGTGGTTAAGGACAATGGGAATGGTAGCACAGCTATGTCTGGAGGACCACAGGATAACCAACCCTGTCATAAAGAGAAGCACAGACTTCTGGATATCCAGAGTTTTCTAAAGAGCAAGCCTCTGGCACAAAATAAACCTATGACAGATGTGAAAGTACAGCCTAAAAGAGAATTTGAAATAGCTGCAGTGAAAGTGGTGAATCAGAGAGGGGTAGGGACATGGCTGAAAACATTAGTCTGCATTAGTCAAAAACCGGCAATTTAAATGTGTTGTAAACAGGCAACACCAGATGGTGCCTGAGAGCACAAAACATTTCTAGTGTTGTGTTTTTACATAGATTCCCCTCCCTTTGGTTATAATAATTTAATTTCTGACTTATTTATAGTGTTTCCCCCCTGTGTATAGATCCACCCAAGGTAGGAGGAAGGGGTGGGGTGTGTGAGAAAGGAGCACCTAGAGAGTAAGAGCAGCCTTGCCAATGTATTACAAGGTTAAAGTTAACCATTGGTACAATACATGCCTCCTGCCTATCTGCTTGGTCAAACAACTCTTTACTTCAAATAATTTAAAAAAGTAGCTCAAATAATAAAGTCAAGTAACTCAATACTTGGGTTGTCAGTCCATTAAAAAATGTATAGCTGGATACTAGGGTGGAATCTACATACACATAAAAACGCTGTGAAAATGCTTTTTTAAGAAACATTTTGAAAAATACATTGAATTTTGCATAACTGTCACCATCTAGTGTTACATTTGTATGTTGCACTTTACAACACATTTAAAACGTTTTATTTGCCGCTGTGTAGCTGAGTCCTAGGCTAGTGTGGTCTACAATAGGTCAACAGTGCTCATTAACATTATAAATACTTTTTGTCTAACATAAATAGGATGCAAAAGGCAATTTAATATTGTGTGAGATGCCCTCAGTCTTTGGCTTTTAACCTTTCTGGAGTACCAGCTACCTAAGACCACAACTCTTCTACCTGAACCTCCAACACTCATATAGATAGCTAATAACTGAATAAGGGGGACTTGTCAATCACCCCCACTTGCCACATTTAACCTTTTCTAGAGCTTTTATGACTACCAATTATCATCGTTTCATGTTGCAAAAATCACTGGGAGAAAGAAAAGCTGGTTAAAGAATGAAAATCTTTATCTTTTTTGAAGCACGGGGAAAAGCCCACTCTCATCTGATCACACAATCTAAGGATTTGCTATTCACATTGTCAGATATTCAGAATTGAAGACTCTTTGCCTGTGAAGTGCAAAATATTTCATCTCCTATTTCTCCCCTGTTATTTCCCCATTATTATATATACCTATTAAAGAACGCCTGTGCCTTTCCTTTGCCATTCACCTATAATTTTATAAGCAATCTAAGACAGAGCAAGTCTGGGGTAGAAAAGATGTATCCTTAGGTTGGATGAAATTGCTGAAAAGAACTGACAAAGAGAGACAGACAATTGAATTTATTGTCCTGGTATCTTTCACAAGATGGCCTCCATTTTGTGCCGTGAAGAAAACCCAGTTGGATAGGTATTGTTAGTGTACAAAGTCCTGACTCTTTCCCTTACTTGGGGTCAGGAAGCATTTTCTCCCAGGTTAGATTGACTAAGGATCCTAAAGTTATTTGCTTTGGCCCTTCATCATTGAAATTGTTGGCTTCTATCACAGCTCACCAGTAAGAGGAAATACAACGGCCAAGAATTAACAGTGTTAGGAAAGGATAACTTTTTCTTTAGCACTTTCTCAAAATTCCAAATGTGCCTCCAGACTCAAAAGGTTGGTGACCACTGGGCTTAGCCCCTTGGTTTTACAGTATTCATATTTAAATAAAGCCTTTGGGCATTCATCCTGATTGGTTTGCACAACGTTTACACTGAGGTTAGATTGTACCTGGTTTTATTGAGCATTCATTCCGATTTATTTGTGGCACAGTTGTACAACAATGAACATTCATCCTACATTCATTCAGATTTTCTTTTGGGGTGGTGAAACATCTTCCTGTTAGTCATTCATTCACCCCACGCTTTTCAATGCATTTTCCTGTCACTTTCCTAACTGCAAATAGTCTGCTTCTTGTTTAAAATGGATTTGTTGTGAACCTATCCTTCCTGCATGATCATGAATCATTTTAAAAATCTGATCCAAACACATTTTAAAAACTATGTTTCTGTTACTCATTCATTCATTCAGTCATTCACATGAACAGCAGTGAGAGGCTCAATAACACTTAAGTGGCACATGTCTAAGTACTACAGTATGTGTATATACATTACATACACATTCCCTCATAGCCAATATCATTCCTTTATTGCCTTGCTGTACTTTTCTCCCTGCAGTTTAGGGTGTATAACTTCAGGGCATAGACCTGTCTTTTTCTATTCTGTACTAATGAACCTGCTTTAGTACTATACCAGATATCCCTGATGGCACTATATAAACAACAACAAAGTAGTAAACTGCCCTACAAGTATATTAATTAATATTTTGCAGCTAGGGACTGGGAAACACACACACACACAAACACACTTGTAATCCTTGGCAGTCCCTGTAACATGAGGACAAGTTCAGCTGCTCCTTTTCTTTATGAGCAGAGTTTATGGAGGCAATTTTCAAAGACTCTTACAGGTATGTGGGCATAATCAACAAGGCGAGTTCTCACAAAGTACATAAGGTGGTAAATCTGTGTCTGGGCTGCTGAACCACTTCAGACTGCGGTGGCTTAAGCACCTCATTCCTTCTACGCCTTCACTACAAATCACCCTCTGACAATGGTGCATTGCAAGGCCGAAGCAAAGGCTACAGGGTTTGTAGTTTGACAGAAAGCACACCCACTCATCTTTCCAGGAAGTCTTAATCTGAGGTGAGCAGCACCCATGCATGGTGTGTGTGTGTGTGTGTGTGTGTGTGTGTGTGTGTGTGTTGTGTGAAGAGAGGAAAACTGAGTGAGTCAAGAAGTGTAATGTCCTGTGGCTGGAAAGTAGCATCCACTCAGGTACAAAAACAGAAAGCCATGTATGTCCCACTTCCCCTTTGCAAGTGCGCCAGACAGTTTACAAGCCTTAAAACTAGCTTATGTTATATACAATGTCTTTCTTCCTTGTTTCTGTATGTTTGTAAGATTTATTACTTCATGTACCTGACATTCAACAAAAACTGTTCAATAAAACCCACAAAGTGGGTTCATTCCCAAGAAATTTCTCTTAATTCAGGAGTGGGGAGCCTGTAGCCCTTCAGATGTTGCTGGACTACACCTCCCATCATCCATGACTATTGACCATGTTGGCTGGGGTTGATGGGAGCTGGGATTCATCATCATCTGGAGGGTCACAGGTTCCTCAGAGCTAACTTTGAAGCAAATTACGTCTTCGCTTCCTTACAAGTTAAAAATTCCCTCTACCGAGGTATCTTTTCATCCATCTATCTCCCAGCATTTGTATATAGTCTTTCCAATCCAAATGCTTATTACTGCCTACCAATCCCAGGGGCTAACAATGTGCATTCCAATTCCCTAAAGAAGAGGGATATGAGCAAGGCCTAAACACTCTCCCCTCTCAAGTGTGTCAGTCCAGGTTCTTAGCCTTAAGCAGCAAAATTCGATGTTCAAGTCCTGGAGTTGCTGATAGAGACTCTCCTTTTCCGTTGTCTTGTACAAGCTTTGGGGCAAGAAGCTTAGATGTAGCTGTAAAAGTGCTGTAGCAAAATGACTGCGAACCCCTCTAACTTCTAGGTGCAGGATAATGGCCTTTTATTAGTTTTGGCTGACCATTATTTCTTTTGTTCCAGTATTAACAGCCTTTGCTCTGGGCTCTGCAGAGTGGCTGGAGTTCAAGCTTTAACTGATAAGTGACTATGAGGATGATTATAGTTACTGAAGATGAAAGGAGCTCAACAGGATAATGAAGCAGGAGCTCAGAATTGCCTTTTTACAGCTGTTTGGACCCCTTTCATTTCCCTGAGCAAGTTAAGAATATCTGAGATGCTTTTTCTAAATTGCTAAAACAACAATAAGAGCTTTGACAAAGGGTGCCCTCTCCTCTCCCCCCTCCCCGCCTCACTTCAAGTCCTGTATCTGTTTAAAAGTATTGATCCCATGAAGTCATTTATTTAGACAGTTCTATACTACGGCATGATATAAGTGGTGTTGTCTCTTCAGGAATCAATGCCTTGGTACGCTTTGTTTCATCTATTGAAAGAGGGATGCTATTTGCCCTGTGGTGGCAAGACTTTGGGCTGCCAGCCCATCAGATTTAATCAGCTAAGCAGGAATGAACCTGTTCAGTGAATAGGGGAAATTCAGGACCTGAAGGAAGGCGAACTCATGAGACTATGGTCAGTGCGAACATAGGAAGTTGCCTCATAGCAAGAGACACCTCTTGCCCATCCAGCTGAGTTTGGCCAACACTGGCTGGTAGTGGCTCTGCAGGGTCGCATGCAAGATTCTTTCCAAGGCCCTTCCTGGAGAGACCAAGAATTGAATCTGAGACCTTTTGCACACAATGCACATGCCCAACCTCTGAGCCACATCTCTCCCTCTGGTTGGACTCCTTCGTTCCATCACTTATATACATGTACCAATCTGCTTCACTAGTTGTTTATGTAGTTATTTGTTGACTTTCTATCCTGTCCTTCCTCAAAAAGGAACCCAGGGCAGCAAACAAGAAATATAGCAGCCTATTTCCTGAAATATTCCCCATCCACCAGAAGGTGGGAGCCAAAACAGGCAGAACGAAGGCATCCCATCGTTAACATCACCTCCCCCTGCAGTACCATATAGTACAGTCTCTGTACTGATACTTTTTTGTCCCCCTGCCCTTGCTATCAGCAGCCAATGATATTCAGCTCAGGTGGGAAATGCACAACTGTGACCGTAGTCTGTGGATTTGGAAAACAGGGTTCATTTTTAACAACATAGCCTCCTTTCTGGGGACCCTCCTTGTCACATGAGAATGTAAGATGATTCTGCTGAATCAGGCCAATGGCCCATATAGTCCTGTTCTCACAGTGGCCAACCAAATGCCTGTGGAAAACTCGCAAGTGGGATCCAAACACAAGAGCACTCTCTCCTCCTGTGGTTTCCAGCAGCTGTATCCAGCTGTGGCATATCACATGAAGATTATTCTGTAACAGACCAGATGAGGAGAACAAGAAAGTCTTCACTTAATGAACCACACTATTCCAAATAGTCGCTCTTGGTGCACTAGAGCATTTCTCTCATGTCCCTTCCTTTCTGAACCCTGCTGTGTGTGTGTGTTTATATATACAATGGTACCTCTGGTTACATACACTTCAGGTTACATATGCTTCAGGTTACAGACTCTGCTAACCCAGAAATATTACCTCGGGTTAAGAACTTTGCTTCAGGATGAGAACAGAAATCGTGCAGCAGCGGCGTGGCAGCAGCGGGAGGCCCCGTTAGCTAAAGTGGTGCTTCAGGTTAAGAACAGTTTCAGGTTAAGAACAGACCTCCAGAACGAATTAAGTTCTTAGCCCGAGGTACCACTGTATATGCTTGCCTTTTGAATGCCACAAAAATACGCATTTTAATATGCCTCTATCTTCAGCCAGGTTTCATTCTAACTGCTGAGTTCCTTTCTATTTTCCATTAAGTCATTCCCTGTAGGGGTTTCAACCCTCACGAATGTGCTGAAAATACCAGTATAAATCCATTCCTTTCCTCCATTTTACCTCTTAAAACTTGTTACTTCTTCCTGATGGTTCCCTCTCTCCCTTCCATTTATGTTCAACAGTTCTTAAATCCAACCTGTTTTAAGAGGAGCTGAAGAGGTTTAAACACAGAAAATCTCAAACTAAACCAGCCTGTGGGTGACAGATTACAAACTGCTTTGGGCATTAAGGCTGGCGAAAACCGCTTACAACTGGCTCTAACCAAACCTACAGATGCCAGAACCTTTGAGAGTTTTCTTGTATATAAAGTCACAAATATTTTACTCCCACACGAAGCCTAGGGGATATTTCCACACTTGGCTAGAGCACCTTTCTGGTCTGGATATGTTTCTTTACTTTTTTAAAAAACAACAACAACAACAACAACACAGTTTTAACATTTCCAGCACATAGAAATGACTTACGTTCATTGCTTGCCAGTTTGATGAAAGCAAGGTAACACAAACCTCAGTGCAGTGCATAAACAAAATGCAGGGGCACTGGTAGTTTCCCTCATGCCCCCCCTTGTATTTCTGAGGCTTCAAGTGGTCACAGTTCATAGGCCTGATGCTGGAGACCACCTTGCTGAGAGTGCTGGAGGACCTGGGAAGGCAGGACCCTGACTCACTCCAGCTAAAACAAACTCTTGAGTTGAGGTATTGTCCAGGGGTTTCTGTTGGGGGCTGTTATGGTTTTTGCTACCTTGACTGTTCAAAATATTTTAAATTGCAGGTCTTTAAATTGTGGGGGGTTTTTGTTGGGGTCTAGGATGTGCCTGGGAAGCGAGGAGCAGGGAAGGTCCTATAGTGGTTCAGGGGAGGGGAAGGTATGGTGTGAGAGGTGGGGCAGGCATGGGCAATTGGTGTCCTATCAGCCTGTGACTGCTGTTGAAGAAGAAGAGTTTGGATTTGATATCCCGCTTTGTCACTACCCTAAGGAGTGTCAAAGCGGCTAACAATCTCCTTTCCCTTCCTCCCCCACAACAGACACTCTGTGAGGTGAGTGCAGCTGAGAGACTTCAGAGAAGTGTGACTAGCCCAAGGTCACCCAGCAGCTGCATGTGGAGGAGCAGAGACGCGAACCCGGTTCACCAGATTACGAGTCTACCGCTCTTAACCACTACACCACACTGGCTCTCCAGCATGTTGCTGAATGCCAGGTTGGCTTGGAGTAAGACATCCCTCATTCACGATCTGTTTCTGGATGAAGAGGCTGATCTGGTCTGTATCACTGAGACCTAGGTGGGTCTGTTATACCACAATGTTCCCCAGCTGGGGTTTGCACTCTGCACATATCCTGCATTTATGACCAGTAAGGTATTCCCTTAGGTAACCATGTCTATGAAACATTTGCCTCTAATTGGGTTCATTTCATTTGGACCTCCTTTGTAATCATCCAGTTTGCCTGCGCCTCTGGATAGCATATTCATAAGGCTACCTTTGCCTTATTAGTCCTGTGTGAAAATTAAAAGCAAAATGCATTCGAAAATGGCCTGACTTTGCTACACGGTCAGGGTTAAGGTGATGCTGCTACTGTGCTTTGTAGCCTCATCATGCAGCAACTGGCTATATGGGATGCTGAACTCAAAGTTCCAGACACAATTTAATGTCAGAAGAGCACACATTTGAATGCAAAAAAACATGTGTTGTCATCACTAGCTGGGCTGCTGTCATCTGAACTGCCCCTTAGGTTACAATCCTATGCATCCCCATTGGGATTAATTTCCAACGAACGCAGTAGAATTTATTTCTGAGTAAACATGCATAAGATCAGGCCAGAGGTTTGGTATTTTTGTTTGTTTGTTTAGAAAATGCTCAAGTTTCTTATCTGTCTTATCCATCATAATATTCTTTTCACTCTGGGGATTATTTTTCCAGATTACTACAATGCTGGTGACAGCTCCCGGGTCTGAAATGTATTTAAAAACTTTCCATGAATATATAAACATGTGTGTATAATTCATTGTTTTCAGCTCTCGTATAGATATGCTAGTTTTAGAATGATGGCATCGGTCCAGCTGACATCTATGCTTCATGCAAAACCTGACAATTAAACTGCATGAGGAGGAGAAGCTCTTAAGTATGCAAAGCAATGCGCTTCCGACTTGGATACACTGTAAGCGTGTGATTTTTCAAGATTAAAAAGGACATTTCTGCATCCAGATAATGGTCTGAAAATGGCTGAGCCATTGTTTCAATCCAATGGATTAGTGTAAGAGATATAAAAGGGCATTAAATGTGAGCTTTCATGATTTATTAGCTATTCATATATATCTGCTTTTCTCTTCCAAGAAGCCTGCTTCTAAATTTGATTGGGAACAAATATTTAGCTTGTTATCCGAATGAGAAATTGTGAAAGTTAACACCAATATACATCTATGTCTTCCCCTGCTGCTTCACAGGGGTACCAACAGAATTGTCTGGGCCCAGTGTGTATGTGGGTTGGGTCTGCCACCTCTGCCCCCTAAAAAGGGCACACTTTGCCATAGGATGAAGAGCATATGCAAATTTGCACCAGCTTTTGTGGGTGGGTCCCAAATATAAATCGAGGGCCACATAAGCAACAGGGTGTCTGATAGACAGAATATCAGCAGACAAAGCTTTCTCCATAATTGTGTTTCAGTATTAGAAAAGGCCAATTCTGTTGCTTTCCCCCAGGGCCATCCCTAAACCATGCGGAGAACTCAAAAGTTTCATGAGCTGTAAGCTAGTTATATCACCATAGGCTTTTCATCAATTTTAATCAATGGCTCTTAGGCCAGCAATACTGCATTCAGTGTAAGAGCCAATGTGCTGCTTTAAATGGGCGGGTAGGTGAGAGAAGTGAATGATGAAAAAGTGTGTACACTCACAATACCCCCCCAACCACCACGCAAAGACCAGATTGTGCCTTTATTTATTCATTTGTACAGGAGTAAACCCTCAATTTTGTAGCCGATCAGACAATGCATCAATGTTGCTTTGTAAAATATGGCATTACTGCTCTGAAAGCATTAGTTAATGACACAAAAAGAATTGCACGATAAATTGTAGGCATAAATTGTCATGAATTATTTTTCATTTAAGGAGTGGTGGAAATTTACATATAGATTAAACTCTAAATATACAAAATGCCAGGTTTTTTACGCTTTCTGACACCCTCCCAACTCTTCTACCCCTGAAGTGTGACGTAAGCTCAAACATGCCCAAGCCCATCCTATTGAATTTTGACGCGGGGGTGGGGAATGCTATTACCCATTGTGCTACAGGGCAGTGAGGGTTAAAGGCTTGCAAATTAAAGAGCGGCAGGCTATGCCACATTTTAAAAAATGCATGCAAGAGAGAATCACAGCAAGCATAGAACCAGAACTTGACCCTGGGATATGCAAGAGGAATCCTAAAGATGAGGGCATCTCTAAACATGCAGAGAATATTTTTTGCTATAGAAGTTGGGTGGGTAATGCAGTTAAGTTAGTATTCTTGATGAGCTCTCTCTTTGTAAATTAACCATTACAGTGGTACCTCGGGTTAAGAACTTAATTCATTCTGGAGGTCCGTTCTTAAGCTGAAACTGTTCTTAACCTGAAGCAAAGTTCTTAACCTGAGGTACTATTTCTGGGTTAGCGGAGTCTGTAACCTGAAGCATCTGTAACCCGAGGTACCACTGGGGCACATGGTTTAGAGAACAGGTGGCATTAGAGATTTGCCAATAGATCCTGACCTACCTTCTGCCAACTTCTGCCCTGGATAAAAACAGCCACTTCTTTCCCAAATATGGATGACCAAAGCAGTTCCTGCCCTTTAATATAACTTTTTTTTAAAAGTATCCAGTATCCAGGCAACTGGCTCACCTTAAGGAAGTTTGAGTAAAAAACAACGAACTCTGAT